GTATTGTTCCACTTGAATTCTCTTTATTCCCATCAGCTTCATGCTTCAACTTGATGTGTCGAGATAAGCTACATTTTTGATTATAACTCTTCCACCTCCACCTGGTCACTCATGGGCCATGGCTGCTTTTAGTGCTTTATTAATAACTTCATTAACTTGATTAACTTCAATTATATTATTACAACTAGACCACACCTCCAATGCAAACGACCTCTCCCTAATGGCTAGTGCAAGAAGGGGGAAACCTCGGGGGAAACAGACTTTGAACAATGTACTGGACTCAAAGGAAAGGCTAATACAATTATAGGTAAAGTATAAAGCTATCTTAACTTCATACATATACATAGGTAAGGAGAAGAACTGCATAATCGTGCAGCAAATGCTAAGATAGGTGGCCATACCTTTTTTACATTGTCTAAGCCTTTATGCTATGCTTTTGAAGGTAGGATTTGTATATATGCCTCCTAATAACAATGCTTACTACTTTTCTGCTTTAAAATGGAGTATTATAACAATAAGAAACATAGTTTCAGAATGTGATAAATAACAGTCCAAGATCTCAACTTGAACAATGATAAAATGAAGGATAAGCAGTTGATATACAGGAACTTGAACTACAGACACAATTTGATGAACCTGAGTCTTTTTATTCTTGTCTGTTGGGAGTTCGGTGATGAATAGATGATGATCACACCATAAGTTATACTTGGAGATGCTGTTGTACCTCTCCTAATAAATCTGTGACTGCCCACAACAATGAGAAAGACATCTGACTACTTTTAACTTTTAATTTACAATATCTTTAGTTTTATTAATAATTATAATACCTGTGATGTGCTGTATTTGAGATAATCATATTCATAGTTGGTATACACAATATAAATAAACACTTAACAAACAATTAGCAGCTACTTCACACGTGACCACCAAACCTGCACTTATAATAACAGTAAAAAGTCAGTGTGGCCCTACTATAGTGAGATACTTCACATACACTAATCCTTGTACATTACATGATACTTCTTCTATATTAGCTGTTGCCATTATTAAAGGAGCTAAGCAGTGAAGGGAAGAAACCCTCACACCACAGTTACATGTTACTCATCATATTACTGATACTTAGTCAAGATGAGTGCTTCAATAAATCAGTACATGAAATTGTGAGTTGAAATACTTTACAATTTTAATTGTGTGTGTGTGGGTGTACTGTAATTTCAGTCAATGATGAATTCTAAAATTACATTTAATTATAATTTGTGTATTTTGTAACTAGTAGAAATTTCTTTTGCAGACTGTAAAGAACATCACGTGGGCCAGTGAGAAGAGCATCCCTCAGACCACATTAGGGAGCTTAATGATAATAGTACTAGTGAGGACTGTCCATAGAAATATACAGCACCTAAGGGTAAGACACCATCCTTACTATTCTTTACTAGTAAAATAATTATTATTTTTGTTGTTATTATTGTTATTGTTATTATTATTGTTATTTAAAAAGATAGTATTATTATTATTATTAAAATAAATTATTATTATTATAGGATAAGTTTCTCCATACCAATTGTTTGGCTACACTGGCTAACATGTCGTCTCATTTTCATTCACTGTCTCTTGAAGCAGCTGAAAAGATAGTAAAGTAAGTTTTAGTGATACTTTTACTATCAGACATTAGCTAATAGTACTGTACATGTAATCACGTACTGTATATGTACTTGTATGATGGGCTATAGCCTTGGGTATTTTTCAGATTTTGGCATATTTCTTAAAATGGCCGTAACTCGAAAAATATTTGTCGGAATCAGCTCAAACTTGCTACACAGCATAAGGACATCAATATGTATCAGAAAATGTAATAAAAATTTGGAGTGATTTTGGAGCCATTTTTTGAAAAAACTATGGGCTATAGCCTTGGGTATTTTTTAGATTTTGGCATATTTCTTAAAACGGCCGTAACTCGAAAAATATTTGTCGGAATCAGCTCAAACTTGCTACATAGCATAAAGACATCAATATGTATCAGAAAATGTAATAAAAATTTGGGGTGATTTCAGAGCCATTTTTTGAAAAAACCATGGGCTATAGCCTTGGGTATTTTTCAGATTTTGGCATATTTCTTAAAATGGCCGTAACTCGAAAATATTTGTCGGAATCAGCTCAAACTTGCTACACAGCATAAGGACATCAATATGTATCAGAAAATGTAATTAAAATATGGGGTGATTTCGGAGCAATTTTTTTGAAAAAACCATGAGATATAGCCTTGGGTAATTTTCAGATTTTGGCATATTTCTTAAAATGACCATAACTTGAAAAATATTTGTCAGAATCAGCTCAAACTTTCTACTCAGCGTAAGGACATCAATATTTATCAAAAAATGTAATATAAATTTGGGGTTGCTATTACTCTCTCTCTCTTTCTCTTCAGTTTATTTCGTGTATTGAGTAGGAAGTATCTTAAATCCAAAGGAGAGCCAATACCAGCAATAACTGGAGCTCAACCCACCAGCCCAACCACACGTACTTCACCTACCACGCCCACAGAACTGGTAAACATAATAATAATAATATTAATGATTTAATTAATGATGAGTGTCGTTTATAGGCTGACACAGAGACACTCCAGGAGATATTATTGATGTTATTAGAAATCATAAATTCGAATTTAACGTACACGCTACATGTTAATCCTCATTTTGTGTATTCACTGCTTTATCAACGAGAGATCTTCACACCTTATCATGGCAGACCTGGCTTTATAGACCTGGTTAATAATATTGAAATGGTAAGAGAGAGGGAGAGAGAGATGGTGATGGATCTTTGTTCTTGTGTAGGTTATTGCATTTTTTGCGAATAACGTTGAGAAGGATGGCACTCCTCCATTTTCTGCTCAATTTGTGACTGATATCATTAAAAAATATTCAAAAACATGGCCAAGAAGCAGATTAAGAGTAAATAAAAAAAGAAATATGTATACTTTTATTCTTCTCTTCCTCTTAGAAATTTTCTGAGTTAAAGTTCCGTTATGTTGAAGAATCCCAACCTGATGAGTTCTTTGTTCCTTATGTTTGGTCATTAGTTCAAAAACACTCTCACATACACTTTGAAATTAATAGAAAATCATCACCAACATGATACCCTCTTGCCCACAGATCTTTGTGTTTCTTTATCTTCTTTCTCTGTTGCACACACTGACTCTTTTGTTCTTCTCTCTCTCTCCTCCCTCCTCTTCTTATAATTCTTACTAATAGTGGAGTAATGTCACTATTGGTATCTGTGATTAATTAATTATATTAATAGATGTACATGTATGTGAAGTGCATAATGCGAATTAAGTTGTAGATCTACATGCTAAATGTCTTATGGTGTTGCATTGGCAGCTTTGCAGGTATACCGTGTTGAAGGCGTGAGAAGCGTGATAAATACACCTAAATTGGCAATAAGGAAAAAAATGTTTGGAAAAAATAATGATAAATTATTCATTAAGTCACAATAAGATCACATGATCTAAATGAATAATAATAATTTTTACAAACATTCAGCCTCAGGACCACCCATTTTGAGACGAGGCTAGAGAAAGAGAAGCATTCTTGTGTTGAGGTCCTGGCCTCAAGCCAACGCTATGGCCACTAGTCAAACTTGTCTAAGTACATTATTTTATACTTAATCCGCTTATTTGATTTTTAGCTGTACATAATGTTATATTATTGTTTACCTACAGATATTGGTGACTTGATTGATGTTCTTGACTTATTGAAGAAATGTAGCTTTCAAAGGACAAAGTGGCAAGAGCTGGGACTGAGACTAGGTC